CCAATGGCAAGATTTTCTTCTGTTTTAGGACCAACTAAGATTCAGTGCATAAGCCGCATTTTATTTACATTTTATCTACCTGTTTCATTTTCTTTGGTTAAATACACAGAAGTGGGATTGTTGGATCATATGGTAGTTCTATTTTTAATTTTTTGAGACTTCATACTGTTTTCCCCAAGGGGCTGGACCAGTTTGCATTCCCTCCAGGAGTGCACAGGGGCTCCCTTTTCTCCACGTCTCCTCCAACACTTGTTATTTCCTGTCACATACTCTCGCAGGGGTTAGTTCATGGTGGTTTTAATTTGCATTTCCCTGACGATTAGTGATGTCAAGCACCTTTTCCAGTATCCTTTGGCCATTTGTGTGTCTTCTTTGGAAAAATGCCTATTCAGATCCTCGGCCCAGTTTTTAATTAGATTGTTTGGGGTTCTTTTGCTAGTGAGTTGTAGGAGTTCTTTACATATTGTGGAGGTGAACCCCTTATCAGGTGTACGATTTGCAAATATCTTCTCCCATTCTGTAGGTTGGCTTTCCACTTTGTCGGTGGTTTCCTTCAGGGTGTGGGCGCTTTTTAGTTTGGTGTGGTCCCACTCATTTATTTTTGGTTTTGTTGCCTTTGTTGTTGGTGTCAAAACCAGAGTCCTTGCCAAGACCAAGAGAGCTTGCTGCCTGTGTTTTCTTCTAGGGGTTTTATGGCTTCGGGTCTTGCGTTCAGGTCTCGAATCCATTTTGAGTTATTTTTGTGTGTGTGTGGTGTAAGATAGTGGTCCAGTGTCACGCTTTGGCCTGTGGCTGTCCAGTGCTCCCGACACCCCTGGATTGAATAGCCTGTCTTTTCGCAGTGCCCATTTCCGGACTGTCCCTTTGGGTTTACCATCCTGTACGGTTCATGTCCATGGTATCTGATGGCCGGTGCATGGCTTCTTCTGTGTTCATCAAACGCCCCAGGGCCTGAGTGCTCAGCTTCTTGGGTGTGGGGACCCCACCTCCCTCCATCTCTCTGGCTTTCAGGAACCCCCTAAATTCACTTCAGGACTCACACTCTGCACATTGCCATCTCTCAGCTTGGGCCCACGGTAGCAGTTTTGTTGGTTTTGTTTTGTTTTTTCACTGTAACAGTTTTAAACTTTACTTTCCTGCTGGTAACCTTTTATCCCTGGAGCCCTCTCAAGTCCCCACCTGCCCTTTGACCTCATGGGTCTTCCTTGCTGTGGTCCCTCCCTCTTCTCTCACTCTGCAGCCCTGACTGCATTCTCCATCGTTCTCGATCCTGCATTCTGTGACTTGCATGTGAGGCTCGGGAGGATCCTTCTAGATGCAGCTTAGGGGCATGCATTTGCAGAACACTTTCCCAGACCACCCCCCACCCCACCCCAGCCCCACCCTTCCGTGCTGTGCCACAGTCTCTGTCTCTGAATGCTCTCGCCTTGGCCGGCCAGCTCATATTAATTTTCGCCACGCCTGGTTCCTGGCACAGATCTGCCCCGAGTGGATATTTCCAGGAAATGCAGAGCTCAGGGGAGCTGTGAGCGGGTCCTCATCTAGGCGCTCCTGAATTTGTCTCCTACGCAGCCCTGCTGTAACATGGTGAGGGTTGAAGGCTCTGTGATGATACACGTGCAGGCCCCATGTCTCCTTTCACTATTTTGGCAGAACTGTCTTAACCAGGGGCGGCTGCGTGGCTCAGTCTGTTGAGCGTGCAACTTCCGCTCAGGTCATAATCTCCCGAGTCATGAGTTTGAGCCCCACATCAGGCTCTCTGCTGTCAGCACAGAGCCTGCTTCAGATCCTCTGTCCCCTCAAAAATAAATAAACATTAGGA